CCCAGACCCCGGCGTGTTCTTACCCCCCCTGCCACTATAAGCATCTTACAGGGACGTAGACAACAGAGAACAGAACCAATTTTAAGAGTGAATGAAATCAGTTTCAGTTCAACACCAGCTCCCTGAGAAGCAGAAGCCAACAGAAAAATCCTTGGAGTCACCCAATGATATAGAGAAAGCTCCAAGGAGACCTTCTTATGGCCTTTCAGTACTTAAAAGGAGCCTGTCAGAAAGCTGGGGACAGACTTTTTAGCAGGACCTGTTGGAACAGGACAAGGGGGGATGGTTTTAAATTAAAAGAGGGGAGATTCAGACTAGATAGGAGGAAATTTTTGATGCTGAGGGTGGTGAGCCCCTGGCCCAGGTTGCTCAAGTTGCAAATGTCCCTGCTCCCTGCAGGGGGGTTGGACAGAATGACCTTTAAAGGTCACTCCCCACCAAAACCAGTCTAGGACCCTAAGATTTCCTCCCCTTGCAGCTGCACAAGGCTCATGTGAAGAGGGAAGAATCAGTCCAGGTGAAGAACAGAGAGGTACAGAGAGGCCCCTCATAGGGACTGGAGATCCCAAGTCCCTCATCCTCTGGAGCACCACCAAGCAAGATTTTCCTGTTGTGTTTCCAACCATGGCTGCAGCCCTTAAGGACACAATTAGCTGGCTAGACAGAAGTCACACTGGAATTTGAAAGCATGGTGGGTTATGAGGTTGGCAGAGTGAGATTTTTTCATTAAACCATTGTAGCTGATAAAGGTTTTGGGCACCACAAGGCTCTGTCAGCCCAGAGGAGACATGTGAAGCTTACCTTCCATCTCATGAAGACATAGTCCCCGTTTTTCAGATCCTCATAATCAAAGTCATCTGAGTTAAATGTTTTTGCATACTGGTAAAAAGCTTGGAACTTTCCCTGAAAAAAAAAAAAAAGAGAAGAATGAAAAAACAGGAGGCTTATTCTAGGAGTAGAGCTCACTAGCTGCCATTTAGGAAGGGAGAAACTGCTCCAGAACAGGAACCTCCTCACCAAAGGGGCTGCTCTTCCCCTGGAGCAGGGCTCAGCACATGCTCCAGGACCAGCACAGGGGAAGACAGAGGATTGCCAGACTCCCAGAGCCACACCCAGCCTGTCTGGAGAAGCTCCTGCACTTCCAGGGCAAGATATTTTTACAGAAACATCATAAACATCAAAGTCTGACAAACAGCAGCAAAGGTCAAGGCAGGGAGGTGATCAGGGGATGGCTGTGGCCTGGATCCAGGGCTCTATCCAGAGCAGGGGGCTGGGACATGGGCACCAGCAGCCCTGCCTGAGTCAGGGGGGCACCTCTCCCCCCCTCTGCTCCATTTGGCAACAAGACTTCAAAATGTGGAGTGTGTTCTGCTAAGGGGTCAGATGGGGATTGCTCCTGGAAAGCAAGACACCTCTCCCACTGCTCACAGCCAAGAGCCTGCTGAAGGCACCTCCAGCCACAAAGATCCCAGTGGAGGAAGGAGGGATACACCCCAAAAAGAGGTTTTCAGGCCCTTCTGACAGCTCTTGCACGGGCACACGCTGCACCTCACCTCCAAACTAGCTGCTCAGACCCCACCTCTGCCCCCCAGGTTTATTTACCCAGTGTTTACGATCCACATCTTCATCAGCATCCCACTTTCTTGTTAAGAAAGGGTGCTTCTTACTGATTATTTCACCTTCAAAGAAAGTGGTGAGCGTTGGGTACTCCTAGGAGAGACAAAGGACAGGTCAGAACATTGGTCACCTGGAGACAGTCCCTCAAACCCAGGTGGAGGATGAGCTCTGGGCAACCTGAGGCCAGCACACCCTCTTACTCCAGCCCCTCTCCACACCCTGGTTGCTTCAGGAAACCAGCAGGAGCCATGCTGGAGCCAGGCTGTGGGAAATCTCCCAG